GATAGATACTTTTATGATTTATATAAACCTGTAATGCTAACAAATATTTTAAAAATTATCATTAGTGGGATATGGATAACTGTATATACATGTATCTCTAGATAGATCTTATATTGATTTTAATTTAGCTTTATCTTAAGACCAATAATACACATATTATTTATGTCATCATGCAATTTTATGAGTAAATAATTGGATTAAGTAAAATTAAAATGAAATATAATTTTCACCTTATTATTTGTTGAATATAATCAAGATTAATAATAGTTAGTGTTAGTAAGGGTGTATGGATAATTACTCTTTAATATACTACTGATGGGAATAAAATCTGGTACAGGATTTTGAGAGAGTGATGTTATAGAAACTATCAAAGCTAAGCATGAGATTTTTTTTTTAACTTGGTAATGGCGTTTCTAGAAATTTCCCCAACAGAAATATTTAAATCAGTGCAAAGACGTGGAAACAACCCAACTACCCATAAATACATGAAAGTATTAATAAAATGTGTTATATGTATAACATGGAGTAGTACTCAGGTATAAAAAATGGTAAACCAATATGTCTTGTATTAACCTGGTTGGAACTGGAACCCATTCTTCTAAATGAAGTATCACAAGAATGGAAAAACAAACACCACAAGTACTCATCATTAAATTGTTACTAATTGATCACCACTTATATGCACATATGGAAGTAACATTTACTGGGTATTGGGCAGGTTGGAGTGGGAAGAGGAAATGGGTATATTTACACCTAACAGATGAGGTACCGTGCTGTCTAGAGAATGGGCACACTTGTAGCTTTGCCTGGGGCAGTGCAAAGGCAATTTGTGTGACCAAAGTGTTTGTACCCCCATAATATTCTGAAATTTACGAAAAATCAGTGAGTAAAGGTTTCTGTACAGTAATGTTGATTGCAGCATCAGTGTGTGTGGCAGCATGTTAGAAACAGCATAAATATCAAGCAAAAATAGGCTGGTTAAAGGAATTATGATATAACCATAATATGGTATTATGTGCACCAATTAAAAAGAAATAAATTTATAAACTCTGTCATGTGATAATGTCCATGAAACTGTTAGATTAGAAATTCAGGCTATGTGCAGGGGCTCATGCCTACAATCCCAGCACTTTGGGAGGCCAAGCAGAAATGATCACTTGAACAAGGAGTTTGTTACCAGCCTGGGAAACACAGCAAGATACTGTCTTTGAAAAAAAAAAAAAAGAAAGAAAGAAACTCAAATAATAAAATAATTAGACAGGTATAGTGGCATGTGCCTATAGTCCTAGCTGCTCAAGAGGCTGGGGAAGGAGGATCGCTTGAGCCCAGGAAATTATGATCATGCAACTGCACTCCAGGCTAGGTGACAGCATAAGACCCTGTCTAAAAGAAATAAAAACTTCTTTATTTCTAGACAGCTAGGACTACAGGCACGTGCCACTACACCTGTCTAATTATTTTCTTATTTGATTTTCTTTCTTTTTTTTTTTTTTCAAAGACGGTATCTTGCTGTATTTCCCAGGCTGGTAACAAACTCCTTTGTTCAAGTGATCATTTCTTCTTGGCCTCCCAAAGTGCTGGGATTGTAGGCATGAGCCCCTGAACATAGCCTGAACTTCTAATCTAACAGTTTCATGGACATTATATCATGAGAGAGTATATATATTTATTTCTTTTTAATTCATGCTGGGTAACAGACTTAAACCTAAGTGTGAAATTATTAGACTTCTAGAGGAAAATGTTGGAAATACTCTTCTAGACATTGGCCTAGGCAAAGAATTTATGAAGACCCCAAAGGTAATCACAACAACAACATAAATAAACAAATGGGAACTTATCAAATTAAAAAGCTTCTGCACAGCCAAAGAAACTGTCAAGAGAGCAAACAGACAACCCACAGAATGGGAGAAAATTTTTATAAGCTGATAACTAGAATCTATTTAGAACTCAGGAAAATCAGCAAGAAAAAAATCAAACAACCCTATCAAAAAATGGGCAAAGGACATGAACAGAAACTTCTCAAAAGAAGACAGAATAATGGCCAACAAACATATAAAAAAATGTTCAACATCTCTAATCATCAGGGAAATGCAAAATCAAAACCACAATGAGATATCACTTAACTCCAGTGAGAATGGCCTTTATCAAAAAGTCCCAAACAATAAATGCTGGCGTGGATGTCGAGAGTTAGGAACACTCCTACACTGCTGGTGGGACTGCAAACTAGTTCAACCTCTGTGGAAAGCAATATGGAGATACCTCAAAGAGATACAAGTAGATCTACCATTTGATCCAGCAACTTCAGTACTGGGCATCTACCCAAAAGATCAAAAGTCACTTTATGAAAAAGACACCTGCACTCAAATGTTTATAGCAGCACAATTCACAATTGCAAAGTTTTGGAAACAAACCAAGTGCCCATCAATTCATGAGTGGATTAATAAAATGCAGTATATGTATACTATGGAGTACTACTTAGCTTTAAGAAACAGTGGTGATATAGCACCTCTTGTATTTTCCTGGATAGAGCTGGAACACATTCTACTAAGTGAAGTATCTCAAGAATGGAAAAACAAGCACCACATGTACTCACCAGCAAATTGGTATTAACGGATCAACACCTAAGTGGACATATAGGAGTAATATTTATCGGGTGTCGGGAGGGTGGGCGGGGGGAGGAGGGGCTGGGTATATACAACCACAACGAGAAAGATGTGAAACGTTTGGGGGATGGACACGCTTGAAGCTCTTACTCAAGGGGGTAGGGGGGCATGGGCAATATAAGTAACCTTAACACTTGTACCCCTATAATATGCTAAAATAAAAAAAAGTAGAAATAATTAATTGGCCAACTAAAAATATATAGAAAAAATTAGCTGGGCATGGTGGCACATGCCTGTAGTCCCAGCTACTTGGGAGGCTAAGGCAGGAGGATTGCTTGAGCCCAGGAGTTTGAGGTTGCTGTGAGCTAAACTGATGCCATGGCACTCTAGCTCAGGCAAAAGAGCTAGACTCTGTTTCCAAAAAAAAAAAAGAGAGAGAAAAGAAGAAATAAAAGACTACCTTTACTACCTTTCCTTGGAGATAATCATGGCCATCTGACTATGCCTGGCCAATAAGATGTCAGTAAAAAATCAGGGGATACTTTCTGAAAGTCTCTTTTAAAAGGGAAGAAGGAGGTCCTTTGCCCTTTCTTCTGTCTTGTTGCTTGGAAGGCAGGCCTGGTAACTGGAGCTCTAGCTGTCGCCTGGGAAGTGGAGGAGAAGTCACATCCTAGGTGTGATAGTGCCTTCACATTACCCTGAGTTATGGACACCTGGATTTATTTCACACGAGACAGAAATAAATGCATCTTGTTCAAGCAAAAATAAATAAATAAAATTTCATGCATCATATTTTCTATACTTTTATATAAAGTAAAATACATAAAATGATTGTACATATACAATACATCTACAAATGACCCTCTAAGGAACATACACTAAAGTGTTTTTTATTTCTTAACTTTCAAAGACAATTAATAATTAAATATATGTACGGGCTACAATGTGATGTTTTGAGGTATGTATAATTGCATAATGATTAAGTCAAGCTAATTTTATCCATCACTAGCGCTTGTGGTTGGGAGCAATCCTTTGACTTTAAACATTATATCACTGTATATAAAATATTTTTCATGGGCCATGCTTTACTTTCTTAATTTATAAAATTAGCACTGAAAACTCTTATATTTTATTGAACCTATTTTCCTTTTGGTTAGACCCATAGGATGTTTTAGGAAATGGTTTTGGAAGACTTGTCTTTTAAAATCAATTCAAAATGTTACAGCCTGCTGTGTGTTGAGGAGTATTAAGCTGATATCCTGCTGACCAGGTGAGCACTCGGTAGCAGTGTACTTAAACACAGGTCTGTGGGATACATGCAGAGGTGGGGGTCTGTCTGAAGGTAGTTTGTGCTCAGTATCATTGTCCACATCCTGGGAAGAGAAATGGGGATGCTGATCTAAGACTTTTACATTGATAAAATCATTTAATCCTCACAAAATCCTTTTGAGGTAGGTAACATTAGTTTGCCCTTCTATAGAAAATGAAACTGGGGCACAGAGAAGTTGTCATATAATAAGTACTCAGACATAAGAACTAACTGTAATGTGGAAAATGAGGGATATTACACAGGTAGAGATCGCTCTTATTACCAGTGTACTTGAGTGCATGTATACAAGGCACCTTGGACCTAGGTCCAGCGGGGGTGTATGTGACTAAATCTATGAGATATAAGCAACATGAAAAACATTATAATGTTTAATAAATGTTTAAATATAATAAGTTACCATTTTATTATATTTTGCTATGAGTTTAAACATTAAAATTTAAAGTATAATGCTAGACATTTAATATGTTTAATACACACACTCAGAAAAGCAACTGAGCTTAAGAGGGAGTATATATCCTCTAGTTAATTACAGCCCTGGAAGATCTGTAATATAATCCAAGTTTTTGTAATGGCAAAGTCCATAGGTTTCGACTATGTCCACCATGCTTTTCTGTCTTCATGCCTTGCTAATGCTGTTGCCTTTGTTGCACATTTAATAAGTTGCAAATTTATAAATATAAAATTTTCTAAATTCTCAGGTCAAGGTCTAGCTCATTTCATATTTGAAATCTATAGACCATACTAATATTCTCCCATTCTGGAACCTATATCATGCATGCATTGTTTCATATGTGCTCATTCTGTCTCCCTCACTATGGATAGGGAACTTCCTTACACCCTACACATTGCTGGACATGCTATTAAACTAGTAAATTTGGAGATCTGATCAAGATTGCAGACGAGAAACACCTCCAGACAGAGTGTCTCTGCAGAAAAGACAGATTCTAGCAGAAATTAGAAGAAAGAAGCAAGAAGACAAGCATACATTAGACGAGGGTTGGAAGGAGGGGTACCTGAGACCATGGGAGACTCCACAGGAGGAGGTTGCGAAGGAGAACTGGAAGCAGAGACCTCCAGAGCAGCCTGGAGACCAGCAGCAAGGGTAGGTGAGGCGATTGACTCTCCCTTCCTTTGCACCTTGGACTGCTGGTGGTTGCCCCAGTGGAGGGAGAGACCTGCGGACACCAGCCCAGAGATGGCCACCACCAGTGAGCGATAAGCCTATAGCGGACATGGCACCAGGCTCCCAATTCCCGCAGGGCACCTCCCTGTGCACAGACCTGAGCCAAGTGGCAGGCACCATATTGCCTCATTCTCCCCTCCCCTGACCCTATCCAAGGCTGCCGAGAGAGACAATATAGCCACCAGCCAGAGACATCTCCAGGGAACAGGACCTTCCCTTTTGGGGCTCTACAGCTGGCTGAGGGGAACTCAGACTGTGAGCTCTTTGCCTGCCAGTCCTTCCAGGTGCTGCTGGCACGATGATCCCAGGAGAACAGGGCATACCCAGAGGCTGAGAGACAGACCCAGCTCTGGCTCCCCATGGGTGAATTGGGACTGGCACTCCTCTCCCTGGTGGGGATATAGTTTGAACTCTGGGGCCCAGAGGTCAGATATGCGAACCAGATCCCATGCACCCAGGTCTCACATTGCCTGGGGCACAGAAGGGATATTCGTGAACAGCCTAGTGAGGTGTGTGAGCCTTCAGGGGCAGAGCAGCGTCCTAGAGGGCAACCCTCCTCCCAAAGGGAGGCCATGCGCCCAGCCCAGGTGGCATTCCTGTGCCAGAAACCTCTCGGCCAGCATATCAGCCAGGGGAGGCCTGGTGGCATGAGGTCTGGCCTGCTGGCAGAGGCCCAGGAGTAGCCCCGGAGTTGGAGAGGGTGGAAAGAAGTGAGGCACACTCCAGACTGCGGGTCTCAAGCAGCCTCACCATCCCATGTAGACTTTCTGACTGAGCAGGGCCATTCCAGCCCCGCCCTGGCAGCTTTTCCTAGAAGCAGAGAACAGAACGTTGACCCCTGCTAATGACATTGGTGGTGCTTGAGGGCAGGCTTACCCAATCCAGATTCACTCAGACTCACTCCCACACCAGCCCTCACTGAGGGGGAGAAAAACACACACCTGGAAGTCGTAGGGCCCCACCAACCCCCTGAGGCACTACAGCCTCTATAGAGGAACAAGAGCTGGTTACAGGACACAAAAACAACAGCACAGACAGACTGTTACTCCAAGCAAGCGCCACCTACTGACAGGGAGGACATCCTGCACATCCTTTTCACTGCACTTACTGACTCATTATACAGGGAGTGGTCGAATCTGACCCACAGACACCACCTACCAGCTCAGAAACTAAACAAGGCATGTGAATAGCCAAACAAAAATCTAAAGGAAAGAAACAACAACTGATCGACATGAGAAGAAATCAGTGAAGGAACTCCGGAAATATGAAGAACCAAATGGAAACCACACCCACAAAGAGGAGCACCAGCCCCTTAGAAACGGACACCAACCAAAATCAGGCAACAAAATGACAGAAGAGGAATTTCGAATGTGGATCATAAGAAAATTCAATGACCTGCAAGAACAACTCTATAACCAACACAAAGAAAACACAAAAAGCCTACAGGACCTGGAACAAAAATTGACTAAAGAAATTGATACAATGAAGAAAAATTTAGCCGAAATCCTGAAAACGAAGAATCAATTCAGGGAACTACAAAATTTAGTGGAAAACCTCAAGAACAGGGTAGATCAAACACAAGAAAGAATCTCAGAGATTCAAGATAACACCTTCCAATTAAATAAATCAGTCACAGAGATAGAGAAGACAAACAAGAGAAAAGAGCAAAGCCTAGAAGAGATGTGGGATTATGTGAAGAAACCTAATGTGAGGGTCATAGGGTCACCAGAAGGGGAAGAAGAAAACACTTAAGGATTGGACAAGCTACTTGAAGATATAATAGAGGAAAAATTCCCAAGCCTTGCTAAAAAACTCCAGATACAAGCTTAAGAAGCTCAAAGGACCCCTGAGATATTAAAAGCAAACAGGAAGACATCACAACATGCAGTCACCAGACTGACCAAAATATCAACTGAAGAGGCCCTTCTATGAGCTATAAGATGAAAGAAGCAAGTAACCTATAGAGGAAAGCCAATCCAAATAACGCCAGACTTTTCTAGTGAAACTTTACAAGCAAAGAGACACTGGGGCCCCATTCTAACTCTCCTGAAACAAAACAATGCACAGCCTAGAATCTTATTCCATGAAAAACTAAGTTTTGTATATGAAGGAGAAATAAAGACATTCTCAGATAAGGAAAGACTAAGGGAATTCAGCAAGACAAGACTAGCTCTTCAAAAAGTACTCAAAACAGTGTTACTCATGGATCAGCACAATAAATACTTGTATAGAATGTAAATCTACTCAAAGACAAAGATCAAAGCCCAGATACCACAATGGCTCAAGAGAGAAAACAAAGCAACAAAGTTCAACCCAACATAATGAATGGAAATCTGCCCCACTAATCAGTTATCTCAATAAATGTGAATGGCTTGCACTCCCCACTTAAGAGACATAGGCTGGCTGAATAGATAAAAAAAAAAAAAATACAACCCAAGTATCTACTGCCTTAAGGAAACACATCAAACCTGCAAGAAAACAGTTAGACAAAAAGTAAAGAGGTGGAGAAGAATATCTCAAGCTGATGGAAGCCAAAAGAAAGCTGGCATGGTGCTGCTGATAACAGATAACTTAGTTTTAAAATCAACAAAAGTAATAAAAGACAAAAAAGGTCACTATATAATGGTGAAGGGTACAGTTCAACAAGAAGACATAACAATTCTAAATATGTATGCACTCAACCTAGGTGCACCCAGATTCATAAAGTAAACTCTACTTGATCTAAAGAAATGGATAAACAAACCATAATAGTCGGAGACTTTAACACTCCACTGACAGCACGGGGCAGATCCTCCAAACAGAAAATCAACAAAAAAATAATGGACTTAAAAAAAAACTCTAGCACAAATGGGCCTGACTGACATTTACAGGACATTCCACCCCAAAACCACTTAATATACATTCTTCTCATCAGCTCATGGGTCATTCTCTAAGATTGACCATATCCTAGGACACAAAGTATGTCTCAAAAATTTTAAAATATAGAAATCATACCATGTATCTTTTCAGATCACAATGGAATAAATGTAGAAATCAACCCTAACAAGAACTCTCATTTCTACACAAAGTCATGGAAACTAAACAACCTTCTGCTGAATGATCACTTCATAAATGAGAAAATCAAGTTGGAAATAAAAAGATTCTTTGAACTAAATGACAAAGGAGACACAAATAATCAAAACCTGTGGGACACAGATAAAGCAGTCCTGAGAGGAAAGTTTATTTCCATGAATGCCTATATCCAAAAGTCCAAAAGATCACAAATAGACAACCCAATGAATCCTCTCAAAGAGCTGGAAAAAGAAAAATAGACTGACCCCAAACACAGCAGAAGAAGTGAAATCATTAAGATTAAATCAGAACTTAATGAAATTGAGAACAGGGAAACTATATGGAGGATAAATAAAACAAAAAGTTGGTTCTTTGAAAAAGTAAAATAAAATTGACACAACTTTGGCTAGACTAATGAAAAACACAAAAGAAAAATATGTAATAAGCTCCATAAGGAACAATAAAGGAGAAATTACAATGGATGCCACGGAATTACAAGATATAATTTATTAGTACTACAAAAAAATCCTATGAACACAAACTGGAAAATGTGGATAAAATGGAGAATTTCTTAGAAACACACAGACTCCCTAGGCTCAACCAGGAAGAAATAGAATTCCTGAACAGACCAATATAAAGTACTGAAATTGAAACAGCAATAAAAACACCTTCCTAAAAAAGAAAAGTCCTAGACCGGATGGTTTCACACCCAAACATTACCACACTTACAAAGAAGTGGTGCCTATCCTTAAGTAATTTTTCCAGAACATCGAGAAGGATGGAATCCTCCCCAAAAAATATTATGAAGTGAACATAACCCTGATACCAAAACCAGGAAAGGATGCAACAAGAAAAGAAAGCTACAGACCAATATCCCTTATGAATATAGATGCAAAAATTCTCTATAAAATTCTAGCGAATCGAATCCAGGTGCTCATAAAGAAAATAACCCATCACAATCTACTGGGCTTCATCCTAGGGATGCAGATGTAGTTCAAAATACACAAATCTATAAATGTAATTCACCATATTAACAGAAGCAAAAACAAAGACCATATGATCCCTTCAATAGATGCAGAGAAAGCATTTGACAAAATTCAACACCCCTTTATGATAAGAATGCTCAACACAATAGGCATAGACGGGGCTTACCTAAAAATGATACAAGCAATATATGACAAACCCACAGCCAATATCATAATGAATGGGGAAAAATTGAAAGCATTTCCACTCAGAACTGGAACAAGGCAAGGTTGCCCACTATCTCCACTTTTATTCAACATAGTGCTGGAAGTCCTTGCTACAGCAATCCGACAAGAGAACAGAATTAAGGGTATCCAAATGGGAGCTGAAGAGATCAAACTCTCACTATTTGCTGATGCCTTGATATTATACCTAGAAAACCCCAAGGATTCAAACATCAAACTCCTTGAATTGATAAATGAATTTGGTAAAGTCTCAGGATACAAAATCAATACACAAAAATCAGAGGCATTCATATATGCTAACAGCAGTGCTAACAGCAGTAAAAGTGAGAACTAAATCAAAGACTCAATTCCCTTCAAAATAGCAACAAAGAAAATAAAGTACCTAGGAATATATTTAACTAAGGAGGTAAAAGATCTCTACAGGGAGAACTATGAAATATTGAAGAAGGAAATAGCAGAGGATGTAAACAAGTGGAGACCATACCATGATCATGGGTTGGCACAGTCAACATTATTAAAATGTCTATACTACCCAAAGTGACATACAGAGTCAATGCAATCCCTATTAAAATACCATCATCATTTTTCACAGATATAGAAAAAATAATTTTACGCTTTGTATGGAATCAGAGATGACCCCATATAGCAAAATCAATGTTAGGCAATAAAAACAAAATAGGAGGGATCAATTTACCTGACTTCAAACTATACTACAATGCTATAGTAATAAAACTGCTTGGAATTGGCATAAAAACAGAGACATTGACCAGTGAAACAGAACAGAGAACCCAGATATAAAAGCATCCTCATATAGCCAACTAATCTTCGGCAAAGCAGACAAAAACATACACTGGGGTAAAGAATCCTCATTCAATAAATGGTTCTGGGAAAACTGGTTAGCCACATGAAGAGGACAGACACAGGACCCACACCTTTGACCTCTCACAAAAATGAACTCAGGTGGGTAACAGACTTGAACCCTCAGTGTGGAAATATTAGAATTCTAGAGGAAAATCTTGGAAATACTCTTGTAGACATCGGCCTAGGCAAAGAATTTATGAAGAAGACCCCAAAGGCAATCACAGCAGTAACAAAAATAAATAAATGAGACATGATGAAATTAAAAAGATTGTGCACAGCCTAAGCAACTGTCAAGAGAGAAAACAGACATCCCACAGAATGTGAAAAATTTTTCACAAGCTCCACATCCGGTAAAGGTTTGATAACTAGAATTTATTTAGAACTCAGGAACATCAGCAAGGAAAAATCAAACAACCATATCAAAAAGTGTGCAAAGGACATGAACAGAAATTTTTCAAAAGAAGACAGAAGAATGGCCAACAAACGTGAAAAATGCTCAACATCTCTAATCATCAGGAAAATGCAAATCAGAACTACAATGAGATATCACTTAACTCTAGTAAGAATGGCCTTTATAAAAAGTCCCTGGATAATAAATGTTGGCGTGGATGCAGAGACATAGGGAGACTCCTACACTGCTGGTGGGACTGAAAACTAGTTCAGCCTCTGTGGAAAGCAATATGGAGAGACCTTAAAGTGATACAGGTAGATCTAACATTTGATCCAGCAATTCCACTACTGGGCATCTACCCAAAAGATCAAATGACACTCTACAAAAGGGACACATGTGCTCGAATATTTATAGCAGCACAGTTCACAATTGCAAAGTTATGTATACAATCCAGGTGCCCATCTATACATGAGTGGATTAATAATATGTGGTATATGTATACCACGGAGTACTATTGAGCTTTAAGAAACAATGGTGATATAGCACCTTTTGTATTTTCCTGGATAGAGCTTGCAACCATTCTACTAAGTAAAGTATCTCAAGAATGGAAAAACAAGCACCACATGTACTCAATCAGAAAATTAATATTAACAGATCAACACCTAAGTGGACAAATAAGAATAACATTTATCGACAGTCGGCAGGTGGGTTAGGGGAGCAGGGGATGGGTATATACAAACTTAATAAGTGAGAAGCGCAACATTTGGAGGATGGTCACACTTGAAGCTCTGCCTCGAGGGGGGATGGGGAGTATGGGCAATATACATAACCTTAATATTTGTACCCCCATAATACGCTGAAATTAAAAAAAAAGCACTGATTGTTACCATAGTCCCAAACCAATGTACACTGTCCTTATGGGTTCTTACTGTATTACCCTAGATCTCAATTCTTTTATTTAGTAAGCACAGTAGCCCTAATTCTGCAGAGACACTACATATTCCATCCCAGTATACACAGTGTCCTATTCCTAAAAATGAAGGAAAAGGAAAGCATCTTCAAATAGAAACCCAGGAGAACTTAAAAAAGTAAAAGGAAAAAAATAATTTTGTAATTCATCGGAGACATTGCAATTCCCAAAACACTTGAACAAGTGAATCCAAATAAAACTGTGTTTGGAAAATCATACTCATGAGAAATTTCTAACCCTATGGGAAGCTCAGAAGCAATTCCACAGGCTCCTGACCTCTCAGGGAAATGTCTTTAAATTGCAATGGGAAACAAAGGATGAGAATTTTGTTTATTTATTTTTCCCTAAACCATGTAGAAGATGGAACTTGGTAAGCAGTGGAGAACATTCTCTACCTAGTCCACCAGATATGCTCTTTCTGTCTCTCTTAGGTGTAGAGGGAGGTTTGGAAACAACCTTCATGTTCTGGCCAGCCCCTGAATGCACTTTTCTCCAAGGAGAATGGGAGATAACCATCATCAGAATTTTCAATGAACTTGTAAAAGGTGAGATTTATAATTCACATTTTTGAATTTTCTGAGAGGATTTCAAATTGTGATGTAGTGCTTCAAATTGTGGGTGTTGTGGTCATGCTATAAAGTTTAATACAATCCATGAGCCTATCACTAAAAAACTGTGCAAACTTGGGCTAATAACCTTTCTGGCTCTTAGATATCTCAAAGTTAAGGAGGATACTAACATTACCAAGCTCACAGGATATAAAACAAATGAAATAATACATGTGGAGTCTACAGAACAGCACTCTGTGCATAATGTGTCCAATAAACAGCAGCTGTTAGAATGCAAATTCCTTTTTGTTTTATGGGGGAGGATGGTAGGAGCTCCTAATGACTTCAGGTCTAATGAAATTAGACCTACCTTTAGCCTTTCATATTCAAGTTCAATCTGAACAACTTAGAAATCTAACAAGTGCATATTTTTTTCATGCTCACCTATAGCATTTTATTCATTCTTTCTAAAACATTCTCATTTATCATTTATCCTCTGTTGCTCTCCCTATCTTGATGTTTTAGATTAAAAAAGCAGAATTTTCTGAGGATGTTTAAAGATCACTGATGTAATGTGGTAAATTCAAGTGCTGCCATTTACAGAGTTATTGATACAGAATACAGCAGAGTGGTCTCCAGTTCCATACAGGTTAGTAAAAAAGTATTAGTTCACTACTTTTTAATGGCTGGAGAGTACTGCATAGTATAGGTAAACCACATTTTATTAATCCACTCATGTATTAGTGTGCATTTGTGTTTTTCTACATCTTTAAGTTTGTGATTTGTGCTGTTGTAAACATTCAAGTGCAAGTATCCTGTACCCAAAACATTTGTACCCCCGTATTATTCTGAAATACGAAAAAAAAAAAAATGAATACAGCATTTGCTCTTTATACAATGATATTCTAACAAATAGCACTGGGATGGACATTAAAGGTAAGAAGAAATCATGTATCTCATAATAAAGTGGAGTGTTCTGATTTTAAATATTTACACTTTATTTTCCCTATGCACTATGTGATATTAATTTGTAATAGCTTCATTTAGACAAACTTCTTCCTATCATTGAATATTGCAGATGTTCCTCAAGCTTCACTATCATAAAAGACACGGCACAATCTTTCATTACAAAATTTACTCATCTCCTTTCACCTTCAGAATAAATTTTTAGACTTTGGTATAAAAAACACAAACATGTAGATGATTCTGAAATTATTTGCTAATATTATTTTCAAAAGGATTATACAGATGAAACAGTTCCATTGCAATTTTAGAATGCATATAATTGAAAAATAGCATGATGTAAAAAACATATTATACTCTTATGACTGAATCAATTTTCCAAAACACATTATATCTGTAGGGAAATGCTGCTTAAAAATAATGTCGACATCAATCAATATTGGATTTCTAGTTTTCAAAACACATTAATAATAACAGTCTGTTTTATTTTAATGGGTCAACAGCTTGAACAAACATGACTCTATATTTTACAGTACAGGAGGCTGACGCATGGTGGTTTGTTCAATGGCACTTGGCTAGTGTATAATGATGTTGGGATTGCTAGTGTATTACTAGCACAACTTGAAAAATTTCTTTTATATTTAATTAGCTTTTTCTTGAGAGTAATTTCAGATTAACAAGAAAAGTTCCTAAGATACCTTGGAGAGTTCCTGTGTATGACTCTCTTAGTTTCCCTTACTATTATCATCTTACATTACCATGTTTATGTTTGTCAAGGCTGTTAAACGAACATTGATATATTACTGTTAATTAAATATCATACTTTATTCACATTGCACTAATTCATCAATTTGTGTAGTTTTCTGTTCCAGTATTCAATCTGGGACAACATAGTTCCTTTTGGACAATTACCTTGTAAGCAATTTAAAATCATAAATCTTGTGAATATAAACCATGAGGAAACTATACTTCATTTTCAAAATTTTAACACTAACTTAAAATATCCTTTTCATCTGAGAAAAAGAAAGATTTGTTTATATCCAATGAATATTCTACAATGCTCTCAGAAAACCCTGGATAAAGAAAATGCAGAGATTAATAATTATGTAATTTTTAATTACTAATGAGCCTGTATTTCTTTCCACCACACATCCAATTAAGGTTTTTTTTAAATTTTTAATTGCAGCTTATTACAAGGACACAGATGTTTCGGTTGCATATATTGCCTTTGCCCCACCTGAGTTAGAGCATCAAGCATGTCCACCACCAGCCTATGCACACTGCACCCATCAGGATTTGTACAATGAAGCTCCATGAAACACAAGTGGATGATAGTGGGTCTGAGAGCCACACAAATTTACTCAGGAATTACTAAGAATATTTAAGTGTGCTGTACGTATTAAAAATATGAAATTGACCATACAGCATATATTATATTTGTAACTTAACAAAGGATCAGGGAACCCAGGTTGGTCATGGTAAAGTAGGAGGAATTAAGGCTGAAGATGTTTTAACTTCTGTTCTGTGTCAATCACTCTAGGAGCTTGTTCTCACCACTCATCGTGACCTTCCCTGCTTGGTACTACATCAATGTTTTTAAGCGTGTTGCCTTATCTTATTCTCTCAAGAACTCTTAACAATAGACATTCTTTGTATGCTCAATTAGAGAAGTGGCAATTGAGGCTTTGATAATTAGAAAAATTTTCAGTAGCATGTTGAACCCCAGTAGAAGAAGAACCTGAATTTGAACCCAGGTCTCTTTGAGTGTTCTGTTCACTTATTTTTGACAAACACATATATGTATACATGTATAAATGTTAACACACACAGACATATATAAGTGCTACTGACTGATCTATTTCAGTTATGTATATAGATGATGATATAATCATTCTGTGATGCTATGTCTACCTGTGGGAAATGAAGTCAATGGCTGGAAAATGGGCTGGATGACTCATTCCAAAGCTTTCTGTATATAAGGCGGATGGCTTTGTAACAGAGTTACTAGTAACTACAATTGATAAGGACATGTTATGATATGAAACATTTCACATTTCCAAATTTGACCCACATTATAATCCAATGAGATGAGCAGGAAGCTATTAATATATACACACCTCTCTGCTTTACAATAATATCAAATAAATTTGAAACATGTATACCCTTAGTAGTGATATCTGATCAGACCAGACTACACTGTGTAAATAATCAGCAAATAATTAATAAAGTCTCAAGACTCTCTCTTAAAAGCAACTTGTTTCACTTCTTTGCCTATGTGAATATGCATATATATGTGATGGTAGAACAGTCACCCCTGCTCTGAAGTTGTTGCTGAAAAAGGAAAATCCCACTCCTCTCTCTGTTGATCCAGTGGTAGCTGGGGCCAGAAGTTCTGTGTTTAAACCCCAGATCAAGCATCTGTTGTTTTCTTGAACTTAGCCTCTTTAAGCGTAAGTTTACCACCAATCAAACAGGGACAAGAGGATTATTACAGACTGTGTTCTAGGCAGGGGGTCCTGAGTACCACCTCACTTCACTTTGTCACCATGAGGACACTCTGATATAAGTGTTATTATTTTTATAAACGTCTCATTTTAAAATGCCAGATTAAAAATAAACTCAATTTTCACTGCATATTGTTTACTTATTAAGTTTAGAGCTAGGAATTTCTCACAGATCATTTTCTTTTATAAAGAATGAGTAAAATCATTACAAAGACTGATACAGCTCAGACTTTAAAAGACATAGTTGAGGAGTGGCCATGATTTTCAAGTGGCCCTAAACTGCATGTTATTTCTCCTTCTATATGTAGATAAGGCAGTCTCCAGGTTAGGATGTCATGCTGGTCAACCCTGCTCCCATTCCATGCCAATGGCAGGCATCACTAATAAATTACAGTCCTCCTTTCCTCATAATTTGGCAGTGGCTTCAGAATGTGTCTCAACAAGTCACTTTAGGAAGTCATCAGGAAATGTTCAAATATGGAATTTGAGATGAAAACTATTTCTCTTCTATAGCACATCTGGGTGCTTGCTTTCCCCCATATTAAAACTATGGCCTCTTTTAAGTCATTCAGTAATTTATATCCCACAGAATTCTGCCTGACCTTTCACTAGTACCTTCAACAATTTCTAATTCGGTGTTCTCAGTGACAACAGAAACACAGTAATTTTGTATATGAATACGCCAACTTATTGATGATTATAATACTATAAAGTGAACTAAAGCAAATTATTCTTTGTCATAACTGCAGATGCTACATGCTGATCACCGTTGGAAGTGCGGTCTTTTACTTGGAAATCATGCAAAACCAAAGCTTTGTAACTGAGTTCATCCTCCTGGGGCTTTCACAAAATCCAAAGATTCAGAAAATATTATTTGTTGTGTTTTTGTTTATCTACATTGCCACCATCGGGGGCAACACACTAATTGTAGTAACCATACTCCGCAGCCCTGCCCTACTGGGGTCCCCCATGTACTTCTTCCTGGCATTCCTGTCCTTTCTAGATGCATGTTTCTCTTCTGTCTTCACTCCGAAGATGACCATGGACTCCCTCTATGAGAGGAAAACCATCTCCTTTGAAGGCTGCATGATGCAGCTTTTTGCTGAACATTTCTTAGCTGGGGCAGAAGTGATTGTCCTCACAGCCATGGCCTATGATCGGTATGTGGCCATTTGCAAGCCTTTGCATTACTCTTCCATCATGAACCGCAGGATCTGTGGCATTCTGATTGGGGTAGCCTGGGCAGGGGGCTTCTTGCATTCCATAATACAAATTCTCCTTCTTTTTCAGTTGCCCTTTTGTGGTCCCAATGTAATTGATCACTTCATGTGTGACTTACAACCATTAATGGAGCTTGCCTGCACCGACACTCACATCTTTGGCTTTTTTGTGGTGGCCAACAGTGGGTTTTTCTGCATCATTATCTTCTCTTTGTTGCTTGTCTCCTATGGTGTCATCTTCTTCTCTCTGAGAACTCATAGTTCCAAAGGGCGGAGAAAAGCTCTGTCTACCTGTGGATCTCACATTACTGTTGTGTTTTTGTTCTTTGTCCCGTGCATGTATGTATACTCACGACCTCCATCTACTTTCACCTCTGACAAAATGGTGGCAATAGTTTACAAGATCCTGACTCCCTTGTTCAATCCTCTGATTTATACTTTCAGGAATAAGGAGGTAAAAAATGCCATGAGGAAATTATGGAACAGAATGGTGGTGGTTTCTGATGGAAAATAAAATATTAATTTTTTTTATAAAGACAAGGTTAACATTAAAAATGTCAAAGATATTCCTGGACTAAAAATTTAAGGGATATACCTGTACAGCGAGAGGTAACATAATGTTATAACAAAAGTGTTAATGTGGGTCAGAAAATTATGTTTTTACCCTCTGATTCTCATCAACTCTTAGTTGGCGGCCCTGTATCACATATGTAAACTAAAATTTGTTGAATTTTATATTCACTAGGAATCTAATAGTAAAAAAATCAATGACAGATATTACATCATCAGACTACTTGCCATTTACTTCATGCATTAAGAAACAATTTTGGAAGGAAGACAAGAATCTCTCCAAAATTACAGACAGAAATTTACCCAAACTATGTCAACTGAAAGGAAGACTATGTTTGTGATACTGATATTCGTGTTTCTGAGGATAAGAACAGCCAAGACTGAGGCAGAACACAGACCAGAGCATTCATAGAACCTCAACTATAGGTGTTTCTGTTTCACATGACTCAGTCATTTACTGTGGGTCCACTACCAACCGCTATAGAAGTTTACTCACTTGGTGAATTTCATGAGAAAAAACATGTTTGATCCAGTCATCCTTACAAATTAATTCCTCTTAGATCAGGTAAACACCCCCTACCAACCAGCTGTGGGAGAGGAAGAGGGAACAGATTCCACAAGGGAGTTAGCAGAGGTTATCTCTTATTGAAGCACAATCTAAGAAACATGAAAGACCAGGCTAATAGAAAAGTGGTACCGAAGCTATAAATGTAGTGAGCTGACTTCCCCCTAGAGAGGAATGGAAGCCAGAGGCACCAGAGAGCAAAAGGTGGATTTCAAAAGAGAATTTCTTTTAATTTTATTTGGGGATTGAAATTTTCTAGACTTTGTCTATCCAGTGAAAATAATTGTATTTGAATAATTATCCCTGAAGAGATCATTCAAAGGTAGGCACATCTTATAAGTCACTCCTGTAGTTAAGGTTTGTTAGTCTCAGCTTTCCAAGTGGCTTCTGTAACAAAATAATTTGTAGTAAAACCTTTAAATTTCTCCTATCGAAAAAACTTTAATAAAATGTCTTTTAATTGAGTATCATATCAAAAGCAGTAAGTGATATTTTTCTTTTTCCCTTAATATTTCATGACAGTACCAAAGTAGAAGAGTGAATGATATTAGTTTTCTTTCTCAGAATAGAAATGGCAGAGTACAAGTAAGATTTCATTGATCTCATATGGACATATCCACGAGGGATTAAAATTAGTATCTAAAACATTCTGAGGAGAGGGGGACGGGTATATACATACATAATGAGTGACATGTGCACCATCTGAGGGATGGTCATGCTGGAGAATCAGACTTGTGGGGGGATGGGGGAAAGGGCATTTATTGAAACCTTAAAATCTGTACCCCCATTACATGCCAAAATAACAATAAATAAATAAATAAAAAACTAAAACATTCTGAGTAAATGTATGCACTGTAGCAGACCAACTGTTTTACAAAGATGTGGATGTCCTGGGGCATTTTCCTCCGTCCTTCCTCGGCTCATCCATCATCTGTCTGTCATCATACAAAGAGCAGATTCTTATTTTATTTTTCCCTTCACATAGAGGTTCTTATTGTTAAATTGTTCCTTTATCCCCAAGAACTAGCTAGAGATTGATGGCTTGGTATCATTGGCTCAATTAATTTAGAAATCTGTGAATTTAAGATTTGGCATTGTATAAAATAAAACATTATCCTGGCAAAATTGTTGTGAATAACACAGATTGCAAGCCTGATCCATGAAACACTGAAATTGAAATGGATTTTAATTGCGTGACTTCACAACTTCTCATTGAGCTCTCTGGTAATAATATACAATGAAAGAAGAAAATATAATATGTAGCATATGAAAGTACAAATACTGGGTGAGCAAGAGCAAGACCCCATCTCTAGTAAAAATAGAAAGAAAGAATTTGGCCAAATAAAAAATATATAGATAATGTCCCATTGATTTATTTTTTTGCTGCTGTGATTGCTTTTGGGTTCTTCTTCATAAATCCTTTGCTTAAGCCAATGCCTAGGAGAGTGTTTCCAACATTTTCCTCTAGAATTCTGATAGTTTCATACCTTAGGTTTAAGTCTGTTATCCAGCATGAGTTGTTTTTTGTGAGAGGTGACAGGTGTGGATCTTGCTTCAGCCTTCTACAAGTGGTTATCCAGTTTTCCCAGCACCATTTATTGAAAGGGGATTCTTTTTCCCAATGTATGTTTTTGTCTGCTTTGTCAAAGATTATATGGCTATATGAGGATGGTTTAAATCAGGGTTCTCAGATCTGTCCCACTGGTAAATATTCCTATTTTTGTGCCAATACCAAATTGATTTAATTACTACAGATTTGCAGTATAGTTTGATATCTGGCATATTAATACCTCCCATTTTGTTTTATTGCCTAGAATTGCTTTTGATATGCAGGCATGTCTCAGGTTCCAAACAAAGCGCACAACTATTTTTTCCATATCTGTGAAGAATGATGTTGGGATTTTAATAGGTATTGCATTGAATCTGTAGATCAATTTGGGTTGTATAGACATTTTAACAATGTCGAGTCTGCCGAACCAAGAGCATGGTATGGATTTCCATCTATTTATATCCTCTGCTATTTCCTTCCTCAGTGTTTCATAGGTCTCCCTGTAGAGATCTTTTACGTCCTTGGTTAAGTATATTCCTAGGTACTTTATTTTCATTGTTGCTATTACTACAAAGCTTCTGCACAGCCAAAGAAAACGTCATGAAAGTAAACAGATAACCTAGAGGATGGGAGAAAATATTCACATCCTACACATCTGAGGACGGGCTGATAACTAAAATCTACTTAGAACTCAGGGAAATCACCAAGACCAGTATCTGTAGGAAAATGACTGCTTGAAATGAATGACCGACATCGGATAATTGGATTTCTAGTTTTCAAAACACATTAATAATAAACGGTCTGTTTTATTTTAAATGGGTCAACAGCTTGAACAAATGACTCTAATATTTTCAGTACAGGAGGCTGACGCATGGTGGTTTGTTCAATTGGCACTTTGCTAGTGTATAATTGATGTTGGGATGCTAGTGTATTACTAGCACAACTTGAAAATTTCTTTTTATATTTAATTAGCTTTTTCTTGAGAGTAATTTCGATTAACAAGAAAAGTTCCTAGATACCTTTGGGATTCCTGTGTATGACTCTCTTGTTTCCCTTACTATTATCATCTTACATTTACCATGTTTATTGTCAAGGCTGATTAAACGAACATTGATATATTACTGTTAATTAATATCATACTTTATTCACATTGCACTAATTCATCAATTTGTGTAGTTTCGTTCCAGTATTCAATCTGGGACAACATAGTTCCTTTGGACAATTACTTGTAAGCAATTTAAATCATAAATCTTGTGAATATAAAACCATGAGGAAACTATACTCATTTTCAAAATTTTAACACTACTTAAAATTCCTTTTCATCTGAGAAAAAAGAAAGATTTGTTTATATCCAATGAATATCTCAATGCTCTCAGAAAACCCTTGGATAAAGAAATGCAGGATTAATAATTATGTAATTTTTAATTACTAATGATCCTGTATTTCTTCACCACAATCCAATTAAGGTTTTTTTAAATTTTTAATTGAGCGTTATTACGAAGGACACAGATAGTTTCGGTTGCATTATTGCCTTTGCCCACCTGAGTTAGAGCATCAGCATGTCACCACCAGCTATGCACCACTGCACCCATCAGGATTTGTATCAATGAAGCTCCCATGAAACACAATGTGAGATGATAGTGGGTCTAGAGCCACACAACATTTACTCAGGACATTACTAAGAATATTTAAGGTGCTGTACGTATTAAAAATATGAAAAATTGACCATACAAGCTATATTATATTGTAACTTAACAAAGGATCAGGGAACCCAGGTGGTCATCGGTAAAGTAGGAGTAATTAAGCTGAAGATGTTTTTACTTCTGTCTGTGTCAATCCACTCTAAGGAGCTTGTTCTCACCACTCATCGGTGACCTTCCCTGATTGGTACTTTACATCAATGTTTTTAAGCGTGTGCCTTATCCTTATTTCTCAAGAATCTTAACAAATAGACCATTCTTTGTATAGCTCAATTAGGAGAAGTGGAATTGAGGCTTTGATAATTAGAAAAATTTTCATAGCATGTTGAACCCCAGTAGAAGAAGACACCTGAATTTGAACCCAGGGTCCTTTGAGATGTTCTGTTCACTTATTTTGAAAACACATATATGTATAATGTATAAATGTTAACACACACAGACATTTTATATAAGGTGCTACTGACTGATCTATTTCATTATGTATATAGATGATGATATTAATCATTCTGTGATGTATGTCTACTGTGGGAAATGATAAGTCAATGGCTGGAAAATGGGGGCTGGATGACTCATTCCAAAAAAAAGGGGGGGCCTTTTTTTCTGTATATAAGGGCGGTATTGGCTTTGTAACAGTAGTTACTAGTAACTACAATTGATAAGGACATGTTATGATATGAAACATTTCCATTTCCAAAAATTTGACCCACATCTTATATCCAATGCGATTGAGCAGGGAAGCTATTAATATATACACACCTCTCTGCTTTACAATAATATCAGAATAAATTTGAAACATGATACCTTAGTAGTGATATCTGATCAAGAGCCAGCTACACTGTGTAAATAATCAGCAAATAAATTAATAAAGTCTCAGACTCTCTCTTTAAAGCAACTTGTTTCTCTTCTTTGCCTATGTGAATATTGGCATATACTATGTGCATGGTCGAACAGTCACCCCTGTCTGAAGTTGTTGCTGAAAAGGAAAATCCACTCCTCTCTTCTGTTATCCAGTGGTAGCTGGGGGCCGAAGTCTGTGTTTAAACCACCAGATCACAGCATCTGTATGTTTTCTTGAACTTAGCCTCTTTAAGCGTAAGGTTTACCACCAATCAAACAGGGACAAAGAGATTATTACAGATGTTGTTCTAGGCAGGGGTCCTGAGTAACCACCTACTTCACTTTGTCACATGAAGGGACACTCT